CTTTTTGTTATTCACTTTTTCACATGTCTAATTGGTTCTATTTTGCACCCAGTAAAATGTTTTTCTGTAACTCTACTATTTCATAATTTCATGTTTCCCCTTTTCCCTATATTACACATTCTAGTGCTGTAATTGTATTGTGTTTCTGCTGTTAAACAGACGATTATCTTCCCATGTTTGTGATGTCTTTCAAACACCTGTCTGAAAACCAGGCGACCGTCCAGTACCGCTGGTCAGTGTAAGGATTATTATGAAACGGCAGGCTGCTGTTGACTAATAGATACATGTAACACTCACGCTCCAACCCCATCACCCGCATACACACACCTATAGACCCACACGTGTTCAGGTGTGTGTGTGTGTGTGTGTGTGTGTGTGTTCAATGTCCAGGTGTTAAGGGAAAGTTATCTGCACTTCAGCTGAAATCCCCCTGATGACAGACTCATGGCTATAACCATCGATAGAGAGAGTGTGTGTGTTATGTGTGTGTGGACAGGTGAGCTCACATGTATCCTCTATACCAGCATCCAGAGAGGCTAAAGCCCTCATCAACAGCCTGATCCACCATGTGTGTGTGTGTGTGTGTGTGTGTGTGTGTGTGTGTGCGTGCGTGCGTGCGTGCGTGCGTGCGTGCGTGCGTGCGTGTGTGTGATATGACACTTTCACTCCTCCTGACTGATCCATTCTTATCGGATCTGTCCATGATGGGATGCAATATTGAATGAGAGACTAAAATATGATAAAGTGCCCTTTAGATGCTATTCTAGTAGAAAACACATTATATAATGCCCTTTTGGTGCTCTTCCAATAGAGAAAACATGAACAAAAGCCCTCAAAGTGCCCTTCTACTAGAGACAAAAGTATAATATATGCTGCTTTAGATGCTAGAAAACGTTGTGTGTGCTGATACCCTTTTTTAACAAAAGTTTGCGAATGTGTAGTTGAACTCAAAAGGAAGGATGCGTTTGAAGATGGGTGTGCTTCCTGCAAAGGCGGGAAAGTTATTAGCGTATAAGTGAGGAAGGCTGTCGGCTGGTGTTATCCCATCGAGGGACGGTCTATCATTTTCATAATGAGTATCTGTGTCTCTGTCAGTCTTTCAATGGCCCACAGGGGTCTAACAGTTGAGGAATGTAGACGGTAAGCTGTGGGTCACCTACATCCCTCTTCAAAGTCAAACACAAACCCCCTTTATCCCCCTCTTCTGGGGGTTGTGTCACCACTCCCTCCCCCACACAATCAGTCAATTATCTACCATCTTTACCTCATCTGCTGGAGTATTCCTTGTCCTCCTGTTACCCCGATTTGTGGCCTGTCATCTATGTATATCAAGTTAGAATAGGTTCACTTAAAACAACCCTTTTTCACAAGATGTTCATATGCAGCTTATCAGTGTTAGCTAGTTACCTTTGAGTCAGGAATCTACAAAAATAGAAGTTAGGAATGTGAAGGACAGTGGTTCATTTCCTTTACCGTATTGTGCCAACATATGTTGTGCAAAATCTTAGCATAAGAACGCAATTCATATAAGATACTGTTTTTTATGTAGATATGAGGAAAAGACAGAATGAAAATATAACACTGGAGGTCGCAGTTTGCCCACTTTTGATTGACTTGGATCAGGGGTGTCCAAACTTTTTTCACAGAAGGCCACGTACAGAAAAATATATGAAGTTCTGGGCCGCTCACTAGAAGTATATTGCATCATAAGTTCAGTTATAAGTTGGAAAAATCTATCAAATGTAGGTAAATTATTCTTGATACTTGAAAATGCTGTTAGAAAAAAAACACTCACAGCTCTCCAGAGGGTTTCATTTATTTTGTCAGCAGCTCATTCCTTAAAACAGAAGCTTCAGATTGCTGATAATAAGAGGAAATATGAAGGGTCTATTTCAAGCTGGTTATGAAAATAAGTTATTGGGCTTTTTTCTTATCAACTTAGATTTGTTAGAACATGTTTTCTACTTTAATTGACTGAATTTATTTGAAAAGTGGGCTTATTAACACATGAATACTGTGTAATATAATGTAACATATATATTTAAGAAGCACAATATAAGACAAGCAGAAGTTTATTATACTTAAGTCATTATACTTTTTGAATTTGCTTAGGGCCGATTCAAAATGGTCCGTAGTTTGGACACCCCTGACTTATACAGTTGTGGTTAGACAGGACATTATACAAGCAATGTTCAGCTAGTTGATCAAACAACCTCAGCATAATAATGGTAGATGTGGAGCCTGGCGTCCACGTCTTGATGCCATCGAGCTCCTTTTGAACAACAAAGACACCAGAAGAAAGCCGAGAGGGAGGAGGAGGAGGGCAGGAGGGCAGGAGGAGAGAAAGAAATGCAACTGTCATCACAAACAAGAACCATCTGTCTCATTTGTGTAACTTGTTTTCTTTTAATATGAGAAGTATGCTGAAGAGATCTGGGAGTTTGAGAGGCCTGGGGGGGCCCTGGGCTAAAGCCAGCCTTCTCCTGGTTCTCTGAGCGAGGGGCATTAATATCCAGCCAACCTGCACCGTTAACCCTTCACCCACACACACACACACACACGCACACACACACACACGCACGCACGCACACACACACACACACACACACTGCCAGAGCATCAGAAAACCTTTAACCTGAGGTATGCAGAGGTACCTGAGGTGTAATCTGAACTATTAGCCGCCTGTCTGGGAGAAGGATCGTCTGGAAGATTTATGTGAAAAGTGAAATCACACCATCCTTATCGCATACCTTCAGGAAGTCAATGCATGCCAGACAAAATATCAGTCAAATTGTGCTTATCACATTTCTTTTATTGTATCATGTTGTTTTTATTATACAGTATACAGTTTGTGTGATCCTGACTTCTCCGATTACTCACTCAAGTAATCAGTTGCCTCTTTTACGAGCCATTTTCTTGTGAATTCACTGCATTAAAGTCAGTTCATCTTTGTGTGGTTATCTGCAGAATCTCTTTGATTTAACTTCCCAGGGAAAGCCTCACCAAAAGTCGAAACTCATTTACAGGACCGACCACTTAACAACCTTCTTTAAGCCAAATGGTTACACTATTGCTGAAGAGAGCTGAAGCGAAACCACGTTTGTTCCAGAAGATCTCATGCCAAATCTCATTGGTGAACTTAAGCCTATTCAACAGTCTGCTGTGGGTCGATATGTCTAGATATCTGTCTCTCTCCAATTTACTTATTTATGAAGCCCCTAATTTACTTTAAATATTGAATTTAAGTTGGCTAAATGGTGGCGACTGATGTTACAAATGTGACTACAAATGAATGGTCAATGCTAAAACCGTAATAGGGGCACAAGTAGAAAAAGATCCGTTAACTGGCACAGTAATGTCAATTCCACAGCAATTTCTAATGATATGCTAGTGATTGTTAACGTCCACCGTAAGCTAACAGTCTTACCAGATCATGAAAACCTTGAACTGTATTTTATTGCTTATGAATGTGTATAAATACATACAAATAAATAAGGTAATTGCTAGTATTCTTCTCTACTTGTGTGAAAACGTGTCAAAGAAAGAGACGTATTAATGCTAGCTACAGTATGTTTCAGTGGTGTCTAGAGGTTAAGACTAGATCTGATTGTTAAGCACTCTTTAAACATGTGTACCAAGATACCAACATACTATAGACATGACGATGAAGCTGTTGGATGTATGTCTATCAAAGGTGTGTGTATTCAACATGGAGTCGTTTTGTCAAGCCTGAAAGATGTTGGTATGGATGCTACATGTTAGCATATAAAGAACTATGACTTGTTACATTTTACAGACACGTGTGCCAGCCTTTTTATACCCACATTAGTTGCATCTTAATTTTGACACACACACACACATGCTAAGTGGTAAAACCCCACTGTCAGCCTCTTGTCTTCGCCACAACCGCAGCAAACCACGACAGGCATTAGCGCTCTCTGACTGACTGTAAATCTGGCTGTCTGACAGACTGTGCACACACACACACACACACACACACACACACACACACACACACACACACACACACACACACACACACACACACACACACACACACACACACACACACACACACACACACACACACACACACAAGCCCGCAGACATTCCCAATCAGTGTGTCCACCACCACCTCATGTAGGCCATCATGGTGGCTTAATGAAGGACAGATCCCCTCGTGGTTAGGGTTACACTTTTCCGCAGAGAAACCCAGCGTGAGTCAAAGATATGGCAGGAGAAAGAGCGAAAAGCCGGAGTAGGCGGGGCGGTGTGATATTGATAGAGACAGAAGGAGGGAAAAAGCTTGTGCCATGTGGTCTGCATTTCGCTGTAATCCCTGTTCGAGCCCGGTGTTCCTGCCTCTGTTCCCTCTTCACAGCGCATTCAGGCACTTTCTGAAACCCGAGCAGCCGCTTTTTGTTCTTCCAAAAGACCAGGTTCCCAGCACCGCGGGAAACACATCCACTTATCTCTGGATGATGTACTGTATGCAGTGATATATGGAGCATAAATTGTGTTTATAGGTGTCAGGGGTGCATGGAATTGACCTCGGGGCGTAAAAGAACCTCACACACACAAACACACACACATAATAAACTGCACGGGGCACGCTGTGGCCACATAATAACGCAGCTGAAAGACACGGGAAATGGACGATTTTATTGAAATATGTGTATGTCTGTCAGCAGGGCTGTGTGTGTGTGTGTGTGTGTGTGTGTGTGTGTGTGTGTGTGTGTGTGTGTGTGTGTGTGTGTGTGTGTGTGTGTGTGTGTGTGTGTGTGTGTGTGTGTAAGGGTTTGGTGGTGAAATATGAATCTGCTCTTTCTCACTTTCCATCTTTCTATCCTCTCTTTCTTTCCCTCTGGGCAACATTGTTGCTCTCTCTCTCTCACAATCACACACACACACACACACACACACACACACACACACACACACACACACACACACACACACACACACACACACACAGTATCATTTGAAAGAAGCAACACAAGTCATTTTGACACAGCATATATTCATTATTAACATACATTCATAGGCAGTATAGTCTTCTTCAGTGTATAAGTCTTTACAGATCTACAGTATGTCTCTATAATGATAGCACGTTATTATAGGAAAGCTTGGCTTTATGGTGGTAGTACAAGACAACAATACAGTCCTGACAGTGGCATGGGAAAGGTGTTTGTGTGTGTGAGTGCATGTGTGTGTGTGTGTGTGTGAGTGCATGTGTGTGTGTGTATGAGAGGAACAGGTATAGTTGGATATGTGGTCAGTTATTGGTTGCTGTGGGGTGAGGGCTCTATGTGCGCTTGGAGAGAAAGTGCTTCAGTCATCATGCATGCTTTAACATGCTTGGCAAGCCCTTTGTGTATCTGTGTGTGTTTACATTGAGTGTGTTTGCGTGTGCATGCATGATTCTGTTGCAAACTAGCATTTGGCATACGGCAAGGTGCAGGAGGAGGCCAAGATCAACATCAATCGGAACAAGCTAAAATGTCCAAAAATCATGTTCTGAAATGGGGCCGTATCGTTTCAAATCTGACCTGGAAAATGTTTATGATAGAAGGTTTCTGGTTGCAGCTGTGGATGAATACAGGTGTTGATTTGGAGTAATGTTTGCTGTGTGTGTGTGTGTGTGTGTGTGTGTGTGTGTGTGTGTGAGTGGAGCAGCATCAGGGCATTGCAGGGGGCAAAATAAATGACTCACAAGCAACCGAACCTCAGCGCGGAACATGTACACACAAGAAGCAAATCACAGAAAGTCCGTCTGCGATAGTTTGTCCTCTGTTGGTCAGATCCGTCCTCTGACAGACTTTACGTCTCCTTTTTGACAAAGTGAGTCCCGAAGCAGCAGCAGCAGCAAGGATAAAGGGCAAACAACCCTCTTTTTGACCCCAACCCAACCCTTTTACCCCACCCATGGGTCCAGTTCGTCCCTTATTATCTCCTCCTTCTTAGGTCCACTCCCCGTCAATCTCCTCAGTCTCAACAAATAAGTTAAACAATACAAAAATAAGAAGCAATCAATGACAAAGCAAATGTAAGAGTGAGGGATGGAGGGAGACAGAAAGTAAAAGATGCTTTCTACTTGAGAAGAACTGCCTCTGGAGCTCTGTAGCAGATCCCATGCATAATCTACTGATATCCATTAAGGTGGAATAACACGAACAGGACGAGCACAAAGGGACCAGTAGTGGGAGGGTGGGGTGGTTTCAAGCAGGAGAAGAGGGACATTCAACAGTCATTCTTGTTCCCTTTCTTTCCTTAGAGTGTGGGGCGTTTGATTTGTCCATAAGTCCTCTTTGCCCCCGACTCCCATCACCGGCAAGTGTGCATCTCCACCATTTTGCGGCACTGTTTGCATTTGACGTAGCAGCACCAGTGGAATTTGCAGCTGCACCTGTCCACCACCTCCACTTCCTGAGTCTGGAAACCTCGTCCGCAGCACATCAGCTCGCACCCGTCTATAGCCTTTGATGTTCGGTTACACTGACGTCCAACCGTGCCAAACATTCCCGGCATTTTGGGGTCGTGGTCGCAGAAATCCGGACTGGGCTCAAGGTAGACCAGATCTTCGTCCGTGTGCGGTTTGAACTGGGAGTTTCGAGGCATGAGGACTTTAGTGGTGCCCGCTTTACGCTGCTCCACCTCAGTGGCACCGTCAAACTTCTCCTTGATGACGTTGCCCACTTTGCGGAAAGGCGGCATGGCTTTCCAGCAGGTTTTCACCTCGCAGGAGCCGGACACACCGTGACATTTGCACTCCACACGCATGTGGGACAGGATGGCCTAAAGAGACACCAGAGAACCTTTGGTTAGCCAAACAGAAACTTGGAATAATATGACGGCATTGCATGATTCAAGAAAGATAACCACTATGGGTGGTTGCAGCATTAATAGATTCAATCAAAAAATCAATTTCTGTTTTTATTTTGACCTAAAACTGACTTTCTATGTCATAAAACATTGCTCAAAACTGGTGAAGTAGCAGATCAACTGGAAATATACAGTATACCTTTACTTATTAGAAACTAAATTATAACAACATAATTGATTGAATCATGTATCATCCTACAGGTAGGTAGAGAGATAGATAGACCGACAGATAGATAGATAGATAGATAGATAGATAGATAGATAGATAGATAGATAGATAGATAGATAGATAGATAGATAGATAGATAGATAGATAGATAGATAGATAGATAGATAGATAGATAGATAGATAGATAGATAGATACATAGATAGATAGATAGATAGATAGATAGATAGATAGATAGACCGACAGATAGATAGATAGATAGACAGATAGATAGATAGATAGATACATAGATAGATAGATAGATAGATAGATAGATAGATAGATAGATAGATAGATAGATAGATAGATAGATAGATAGATAGATAGATAGATACATAGATAGATAGATAGATAGATAGATAGATAGATAGATAGATAGACCGACAGATAGATAGATAGATAGACAGATAGATAGATAGATAGATACATAGATAGATAGATAGATAGATAGATAGATAGATAGATAGATAGATAGATAGATACATAGATAGATAGATAGATACATAGATAGATAGATAGATAGATAGATAGATAGATAGATAGATAGATAGATAGATAGATAGATAGATAGATAGATACATAGATACATAGATAGATAGATAGAATAATCTCTTAAATGCTGACTGTCTGTGCTAACAATCACAACTACAACAACATTTTCTACTACAAAGACTTGAGACTTGGACTCAAATCAGACTTGGATCACAAAAATGAAGGCTTAGGAATTGATTTTTAATTGACAACTGTGAAACTTAACATACTGCATTTTGTAAAAATGATGTGACTTGAAACTTGACAGGAACTCTTGAATTACTTGAGACTTACCTTGGAGTTGTCTTGATTGAATTGAGACTCAACTCCGACTTGTTTCATATGACTTGATTACTTAAATGACTTGAAAATAGAACTTCACTTCGAAATTGGAATTGACTTAAAATTTGAGTAACATAAGACTTGGACTTGGTCTTAAATAAACTAAGACTTGACTTGGTCTTAAATGACTTGACAGTATTTGCACTCAAATATTTCAGGCTGTCTATTCTTGATTTGTTTTCATGTCTTGAAAATTGCCTTCGACGATGCAGATATTGATTGTCTTGCCTTATTTTATTAATGTTTTTACTTTGGATTTTGCTAAATCTTATAATTTGCACCTTCAAAAATGTTGAGATTTCTCCGTCCTAAAAGAAGTGCGCTGTTCTACAAAAGGTTCTTGTTCACAATTGATGTCAAGGACAGATTTACCTTCCTGCCGGCCTCGTTGTTGTGCAGGTTCATGAGTGCCCGATTGGACGACTGGCCTTTACTCCTCTCCCTCACATCCACAAAGGACTGGGAGAAGGCCACTCCGTATGCAATGTTATCACTGCAGCCCGACCACTGGAACCCTGGGAAAATACGAGAAGTGGTTACAATTATGGCTTAAAAACATTTAGACAGAGATGGCAAAAGTACACACATTCAAGTAGAAGTACAAATACTCGTGTTTAAAAATACTCTGGTGAAAGTAGAAGTACTGACTAAACTTCTTTACTCAAGTAAAAGTAAAGAGGGCTTTGAAATGTACTTAAGTAAAAAGTACCCATAACTAGCAGCTGTTTTAAAGAGTACCTGACCTCCCTTTATATCAATAGAACAATAATGTCATTGTTAGCTAATGAATGTTTCCATGCTGAACAACGGCAACATGACAACGTTTTCATTGGTCCCTCTTCTTTAGAGAAGACCAGGAAATGATGGATACACGGATCGTGTTCAAATCAATAGGCACGCAATGACTCTAAATAATAATGATCAGGCCACCAAACACACATTCAAACTAAAGGAACCAGCCTGTTTGGAAAATGTGAGAAGTAGAAAGTACAGGTATTTGGGTTCAACATGTAAGAAGTAGAAAGTACAGGTGTTTGTGTTCAACATGTAAGAAGTAGAAAGTACAGGTATTTGTGTTCAAAATGTAAGAAGTAGAAAGTACAGGTATTTGTGTTCAACGTGTAAGAAGTAGAAAGTACAGGTATTTGTGTTCAACATGTAAGAAGTAGAAAGTACAGGTATTTGTGTTCAAAATGTAAGAAGTAGAAAGTACAGGTATTTGTGTTCAACGTGTAAGAAGTAGAAAGTACAGGTATTTGTGTTCAAAATGTAAGAAGTAGAAAGTACAGGTATTTGTGTTCAACGTGTAAGAAGTAGAAAGTACAGGTATTTGTGTTCAAAATGTAAGAAGTAGAAAGTACAGGTATTTGTGTTCAACGTGTAAGAAGTAGAAAGTACAGGTATTTGTGTTCAAAATGTAAGAAGTAGAAAGTACAGGTATTTGTGTTCAACGTGTAAGAAGTAGAAAGTACAGGTATTTGTGTTCAACATGTAAGAAGTAGAAAGTACAGGTATTTGGGTTCAAAATGTAAGAAGTAGAAAGTACAGGTATTTGGGTTCAAAATGTAAGAAGTAGAAAGTACAGGTATTTGTGTTCAACATGTAAGAAGTAGAAAGTACAGGTATTTGGGTTCAACATGTAAGAAGTAGAAAGTACAGGTATTTGTGTTCAACATGTAAGAAGTAGAAAGTACAGGTATTTGGGTTCAACATGTAAGAAGTAGAAAGTACAGGTATTTGTGTTCAAAATGTAAGAAGTAGAAAGTACAGGTATTTGTGTTCAACATGTAAGAAGTAGAAAGTACAGGTATTTGTGTTCAAAATGTAAGAAGTAGAAAGTACAGGTATTTGGGTTCAAAATGTAAGAAGTAGAAAGTACAGGTATTTGGGTTCAACATGTAAGAAGTAGAAAGTACAGGTATTTGTGTTCCAAATGTAAGAAGTAGAAAGTACAGGTATTTGTGTTCAAAATGTAAGAAGTAGAAAGTACAGGTATTTGTGTTCAAAATGTAAGAAGTAGAAAGTACAGGTATTTGGGTTCAACATGTAAGAAGTAGAAAGTACAGGTATTTGGGTTCAACATGTAAGAAGTAGAAAGTACAGGTATTTGTGTTCAAAATGTAAGAAGTAGAAAGTACAGGTATTTGGGTTCAACATGTAAGAAGTAGAAAGTACAGGTATTTGGGTTCAAAATGTAAGAAGTAGAAAGTACAGGTATTTGGGTTCAACATGTAAGAAGTAGAAAGTACAGGTATTTGGGTTCAACATGTAAGAAGTAGAAAGTACAGGTATTTGTGTTCAAAATGTAAGAAGTAGAAAGTACAGGTATTTGGGTTCAACATGTAAGAAGTAGAAAGTACAGGTATTTGTGTTCAACATGTAAGAAGTAGAAAGTACAGGTATTTGTGTTCAAAATGTAAGAAGTAGAAAGTACAGGTATTTGTGTTCAACATGTAAGAAGTAGAAAGTACAGGTATTTGGGTTCAACATGTAAGAAGTAGAAAGTACAGGTATTTGTGTTCAAAATGTAAGAAGTAGAAAGTACAGGTATTTGTGTTCAACATGTAAGAAGTCAAAGTAAAAAGTCGTCAGAAAAATAAGTAGTGGAGTAAAGTACTGATACCAGAAACATGTACTTAAGTACAGTAACGAAGTATTTGTACTCCACTACTTCCACCTCTGACTTTTGACAGCACTACACTATTTGACATCGACTCCAGTGCTTCTTTATTGGTGGTTCTGTGTAGTAATGCGTGATATCGATATTGTTAAAGATGTGGCTAAACAAACATGGAGTTCAGACAACATAAATAATGAAAACAAACAAATTATTTTTAATGTCACATCGTTAAATCTTTGAAATGATTGCATTCAAATATGCTGGATCAGTCGGACCTACTTTTTTTGTTGCATGAATGTGTACAGTATATATGTGTGTGTGTGTGTGTGTGTGTGTGTGTGTGTGAAACAGAAAGCTAACCTACCCTCTGGACTGACTCCATGAACATTGTGGTCACAGCCACATTTTTCCAGCTCTCCGCTGCTGCAGGCCCTCGTGACCGCAAACGCCACACTGGCTGCTGAGATGGCGTACACAAAGGCTGCCTCACGGGTGCCTAGACACACACACACACACACACACACACACACACACACACACACACACACACACACACACACACACACACACACACACACACACACACACACACACACACACACACACACACACACACAGACATATTGTTACATTATGTAAAGAGGTTGTATCAAAGTCTCATGGAAGGTGCCCAGACACCATTTTTTAAAATGCAATATCAAAGATTATGCAGGAATAAGTCCTAAAACCGAGGAATGATTTATTGTTTTACCAATTCCTGTTCCCTCAACTGGAAGTCAATGGTTTGTTGAATGTGATTTTGCTTACAGTAGATGCTTGAAATATGGTGTGTTGTTAACACAAGCTTACAAGTGTTTCCACAATTTGCTCTACAACGTTAAATATGTCAGCAAATACCCCACTTATGAATATTCAAAGCTTCTTTGTGTCATAAAACTCTGGTAACAAACAATTGACTTAATAAATGTCAATATCCAGACCACAAGTATGCCGTTAATTTTGCGGTGGTGAGGTGCAGCCACGCGACTTATTTCTTAATTCGTTTTACATTTAAAAAATAATAAAAGTTGTGTAAATATGTGAAGACTATCCTGCTCAACCGTTAGAAAAATCTCACTCGTCACCGGCTTGAGTTTCAATATCAGGATACATGGATTTATTATCCTTGCAAGAATGGAAGTAGTCATCTCAACAAAACGTGTAAGTATAAAATCCGATTGGCTTTTTGTGGAAGGGGCTAGCTGTTGTAAATGCATGCAGGTAGTAAAGTTATTCTAGTATCAGCTGTAGTGGTCTATCACTCTCAGTGTCTCTGTTGTGTCACAATGCTGAATGGATTAAATCACTGTAGTGTATAATCTTACCCTGCGTGACAATTTTTCCAAACACAGGCATGGTCTCCAGCGTGGAGCAGTTCCATCGCCGGTTTCTAAACTGGAACTGACACTCGTCGATCGCCAGCTGAGCTCCACGACGCACGGCATCCATCACCTCCACACTGCGCTTACAGATCTGCACCTGGAGGACAGACACAGAGACACGTCAGACACACAACACGCAGTACACACATATATACATCCTTTATTTAACCAGGTAAAAGTCTCATTGAGATTAAAATCAGTTTTTCAAGAGCGACCTGGCCAAGAGGGCAGCATGAACAAAGTTACAACAAATGAACAGGCAGACGAATACAGCGGTACCTATACCTGGCAGATCTTTTAAAACCATACACACCCACACGGTCACTGAGGTCTGCTGACAGATTACTTCTGGTAGTCCCAAAATCAAGGTTGAAGCAGCGAGGAGACATAGCCTTTGCTGTTGCCGCTCCAACATTATGGAACAAATTGCCCCTCCGTTAAACACAAATTAAATGCGCACATTAACCAGTCAATATGCAAATAAAAGAAACTATTATATACGCCTACATAGGAGATAGTTACTTCCCTAATTCCTACCTCGTGAATTGTTGGTTATTTTAAGCCAATGAAGTAGCACTAACAATGCTTTTGCTCACTGAAAGCTAATGTACTTGCAGGATTCTTGCTTGTTTTGAGGTTTGTATCTTCATGGTTGAATGCAATCAATTAGATTAAAGCTAAACGAAATGTACTATACCTGTCTCTGGATGAGACCTCGTAACCTCTCGCACGTCTCCTCATCCCGGATGCTTCCCACTGACGACAACTTGGCCAGGTACCTGACAGAAGGAAACACAATCAACAGAAGCTCTTAAATACATGGCGGTTGCAAAGGAGGGTTAGTTATTGTCACATTATAATGTTCCCCTTTAAACCTGAATTTAACAACATCATTCAGATGAACCGTGTTGGTTCCCATGACATTGTGGGAATGTTTTGGATGAAATGTCTGGTTGTGAGGACACTGAGAGGAGGGAAAGTGTCTTATCACACACACCACCTCCAGGCCAGACAGGCCAGACAGATACACTGCACACACACACACACACACACACACACACACACACACACACACACACACACACACACACACACACACACACACACACACACACACACACACACACACACACACACACACACACACACACACACACACACACACACACACACACACACACACACACACACACACACACACACACACACACACAATCTGAGATGTGTGAGAAATTGGCATCAGTCTGGATGCCCTGACCCTCACACATGCACCTCATCTCACTTCAGTCTCATATCTGCAGACCAGCTGCACCTCACAGAAATAGAGTCTCCCACAGAGGGAGCTGCCCTGATTGTGTACCGTCTACATGGCCAAAAGTGTATTCATCGCAGCATATATTGAGTCTGCAAATCTTACAAACAATGGAACATTTTGCAGGTGAGAAAGCTCTTCATTTCTAGAGGGGTTTCACAAAAAACAAGCAGTATTGAAAGAAAGAAACAAGGATCATTCGAAGAAACCCCAACCCTAACCGTAACCAACACGATTACAATACCGAATTAAATGGAAACTAGTTTACCTCCAGCTTCAAACCTTATAAATCAGACATTAACATATATCTCGTCTATATTTATGTTCCTGCTATGTGAATATTTAATTGGTAATAAACCAGATTTTGATTCTGATCTCTCACTCTCTCTCTAAAATACAATATCTCCAAAGCAAATTCTACATTCAAAGTATTAACATTGAAACTATTACAAGAAACCCTGTTATTTGTATTTATTTCGCAGCGCCATAGGCTACGCAGTGTTTCTCAAAATGTTTAACTATACTAGTTCCAATGTTAATACTTTGAATGTAGAATTTACTTTGGATTTTGTGTTTTAAATATCATTGTAGAAATACAATGATGTTTAAAATACAAAGTAAATTCTACATTCAAAGAATTAACATTGAAACTATTTAATTATTTGTATTTATTTCGTAGTGCATAGTGGTACTTGCTTACCTACTGTACATTATAACACCATACATCTGTGTAGAAAAGAGTCTCAAAGGGACAAGAACAGCAGTTTTACTATTATATCACTCTGTATTTGCCGACTCCTCCATACAGTGGACAGAGTTTGAATATTAAAATGGCAAATTCCAAGAGAATTAACTTTAAGGGCTCCGTAATGTATGAGCAGACATGTTTTTCTGAACAAGTTCCTGAAGCCTGTTTTATGAGTCTCTGGTTATGAGTTCCCAAGACCACACATACCTCCGTAAAGCCCGCTAGCCCGTCTCAATCAAGCTGTGGCTCACTTCCAGACTGCAGAGAGTTCTGCTGGCGTATTATTGACAACGCTACATCCTCTCAGTTTACCTTCAGAGATGCTCAAAGTACACACATCCTTTCCTCAAGTAGAAGTACAGATACTCATGTTTAAAAATACTCTGGTGAAAGTAGAAGTACTGACTAAACTTCTTTACTCAAGTAAAAGTAAAGAGGGCTTTGAAATGTACTTAAGTAAAAAGTACCCATAACTAGCAGCTGTTTTAAAGAGTACCTGACCTCCCTTTATATTAATAGAACAATAATGTCATTGTTAGCTAATGAATGTTTCCATGCTGAACAACGGCAACATGACAACGTTTTCATTGGTCCCTCTTCTTTAGAGAAGACCAGGAAATGATGGATACACGGATCGTGTTCAAATCAATAGGCACGCAATGACTCTAAATAATAATGATCACGCCACCAAACACACATTCAAACTAAAGGAACCAGCCTGTTTGGAAAATGTGAGAAGTAGAAAGTACAGGTATTTGTGTTCAACATGTAAGAAGTAGAAAGTACAGGTATTTGTGTTCAACATGTAAGAAGTAGAAAGTACAGGTATTTGTGTTCAACATGTAAGAAGTAGAAAGTACAGGTATTTGTGTTCAAAATGTAAGAAGTCAGAGTAAAAAGTCGTCAGAAAAATAAGTAGTGGAGTAAAGTACTGATACCAGAAAAATGTACTTAAGTACAGTAACGAAGTATTTGTACTCCACTACTTCCAACCTCTGGCTACAATACACTACACAAAGTCAGGCATATGATATATTAGATACTGGTAAGTGTATGCAAAAACGTTTGGGGGTATTTATTAGGTATAGATCAGCTGTTCGCTACAGCTCTTTTAATAATAATAATAATAATAATAATAAAGCTTTATTTATACAGCACCTTTCCTACAACACATGCAGCTCAAAGTGCTTTACAAAATGACACATCACAAGTTAAAAATACACAACAAGAAATTCCCCTCAGATTATTTGTTAAGAACTTTAAAAGGTACATGCAGCAAAATATCACATTTGATCAGGTTGACAGACACAAGGTAAAGGTATGATAATACAAATAAAATAAATAATGGTTTCTCTCTGACAGATAAGACACAAGACAACTGAGTCGATGCAACAATATAAAATAAAATATAAAACCCCATGAAACAAAGTGAACATATAGGTACAACAGAAATAAGACCTATAAAATAAATAAAACAATATGAAGGTAGGTAAATAATAAAGACTAAAAGAACATTTAAGTGGGGGGTTGCTGATAAAAAGCTAATCTAAAAAGATGTGTCTTTAGCAAACCCTCATGGGATTGGACAAAGGTAGAAGTATTGAGTTTAGTGCTACTGTTTTAAAAAAAATGGTTTCGTATAATGATCATCTTCCCAGAGGTCAAACAGCTCCTCCTCTCCTTCACCCTCTCATCTCCTCCTCTCAACAGAGCAGATAATTTCCCTCTCTTCCTCCGTCTCTCTTCTTCTAAAGACAGTGTGGATATCATCGCTGTGATAACCTCGCTCTCTGCTACTCCACCAAATCTCAGTCACATCCGCTCACACATTTTTAAGAAGAAGCATCACCAAGACCCACATTCTTCATCAAAGTGTGTCCAATGTTGTAATGCTTTAATGCTTTAAAGCCCCTCTACTCTGTGTAAATCTGCACGGATGAATATGTTCATGCAGGATTATAAAACAATGTGAAAGGGTTCGAAAGCTATGTTTCAGACGGATAAAGTAAGTTGACTCATATGGATTTGTATATTTAGCCAGACCTATCACAATTTTACAAAGATATTCACACGACTACAATTATGTCCTTACTGGTACCAAATTCTCAAAAAAAGTGAACCATAAAAAAGATCAGAGCCTTGGATGAGGACCGTTTTAATCCTAAATGCAATCCACCCCAATAGACTCTAAGCAGGGGCGGTTCTAGGGGGGGGCAGGAAATGAAACTAAACTAACTATTTGTCATTCCAGTCGGACCCATTAGAGCGTAAAAACTGTAACTATAAGTATCTGAAATAAATATGTGTACTGAAACAAATACCAATAACTGTATTACATTGTTTTCTTATGCCCAATTACTTCATACTGTCTTTGTCTTTTTCGTCCTGCATTTATTGTGCCCCCCTCAGAAAATAACTGGCCCCAGCCTGGCCCCCCCAGTCAAATTGGTCTAGAACCGCCAGTGACTCTAAAGGGGCCTACACACCAAACTGACACCAAAGAACACGTCCCGACGGAACACGGCTGTTGTGTCGCCTCACGTCGCCTCACGTCTCCTCACGTCTCCTCATGTCGCCTCACGTCGCCTCACGTCTCCTCACGTCTCCTCACGTCGCCTCACGTCTCCTCACGTTGCCTCACGTCTCTGCGTCTTGGCCAACGGTCGCACTGGAACACACCGCAAAGACTTCAGCCGACGGCCAAGTAGCACGTACGAACTGCGCATGCGTGAGTGGCAATAACTCTCCTTACCAGCAGGCGGCGGTAGTGTGTATTCGTCATTCAAAAGAGACAACAACCGGAAGACAGACTGCGTGATAACCGAGAGAAGAAGAACAGACTGCGTGATATAAACAAACAAACAAATAGCGTGCGTTCCATTTTCACTCTACAGCGAGAAGCTCATGGGGCTTTCCCGAACCTGTGTCGAGAGCTGGAGTTAAATGAAATCTCAGATTTGCCTTCTTAATAGTTTGTTTGGGTCCCTCACTTCCGTTTTGCTTCTCATGCACTGATTAGCTAAGCTGAACAGCCAATCAGAGTGATTTCTTTGGCCGATGGCCTTTAGCCGGCGGCGGAAGGTGTCGGCACTGCCGAAAAGACACGACGGGGTGGGACACACCAATCTGAGTAGGGCGACAGGACGCTCATCGACGGCCAGAAATCTATCGACATCTATTGACGGCCGAAATCAGCTTGGTGTGTAAGGACCTTAAGAGAAAGAAAAACCAATACCATTGCAGCTCAATGCTCTAACAATGCTCTCTGCTATCAATATCAAGAAAGAGAAGCAAAACAAGTTAGATAAACTCATTCAAACACATTTTGCAGAATCAGCTCAGAACAGTGAGTGAGGGAGAGGATCATAATGAATTTCCCCAAAGGAGAAAATTCACGTGGACACCGCTCTATTCGGACATGTCAACGTCTCGTTCGAATGCTCCGAGTAACCAAATGCATTTACAATTATTCTTAAATATGAAGTCAAAAGTTAATGATATGTCAATGTTGTGGTCATATCTTGTTTTTGCAGCAAAGACTGGTTGAAAGACATCCTAATGCTGGAAGAGAGTGAGTGAGGGATAGAAGCACAATGAGAAAATCTACGTGGACACCGCTCTAGTCGGAAAGACTCATCAACGAGTCGTTCAAATGCTCTGAATTACCAAATGCATTTACAATTATTCTTTGTAGCATTCTCGTGGTTTCCACATTACGA